CGGCGCGGCATCTTATCACGGCGCTATCACTGTCTCCAAGCACAGCAGAGTTACCAGTCTCAACTTACAAGCACTGCTGAAGTCTATTTCAAAACACAGAGTGAAGCCTAAGAATGGGCAAACACACTAAACGGTGGTGCTGGTGCTCCAGAGCTGCCAATTTCAGGAGGATCCAAGCCAGTTCCCACGAGGAAAGGCACCCAGATATTGTTGCTGCAGCCTGTCTCCCTCCTTGGGATTAGGGGTGAATACAGAAGGGGTCTGGGTGAAAGAAAGGGGAGAATCACTACTTGCTCTCTAGTGCTGAACTTTAGCTCCTGAGGGAGGTTTCCACAGGAGAATCCCAACCTGAACTCCTGTTTGGAAGCACATCCAGTTGCCAAACTTCCTCTCTGCCATCGGGGAGAGCCTCTTCAGTTAACTAGGGCGATGCCAAGCTGGCACACGCAAAGCTGGGCATGGCACCCCAAGTCTACCCAGCATGCCAGACACAAGGAACACTTCTGCAGGCAGCTGCCAAGCTGGAGCCTGTGCTAGTCCACAATGCCGTCGTCCTGAGCTGTTCTCGGCTCCAGGACTGGACCCAGTCCAGCTAGAACACCAAAGGCGTTGTGGATCCTGCCCCGGACAAGTTAGGTGGTGGAAATACCTCTCAAATACAACAGCAACTACAGGCCTGCAATTAAAAGAAACAAACCACCAAATATACTGCAAGGGCAAGGGAACACCAGCCACGCTCTCTCTGTCCACAGAGCAATGCAGGTACGAGCTGCAGGAGCTATATGAGGAGAGGCTATACTAAAATGGAGAACATATTACCTACCAAAGTTCAAGTTAAATAGGATGACTCCCTGATGTAACTGCTTACAAATGGCAGCGTAAGTCCTCTAAAATGACTTGCAAGACCCACTTCAGTAGGACTCATTTCTATCCCCTACCTCTTTCAGCATCTCCTGAAATCGAGAGTGTCATTCCTCTCCCCCAGCTTCCTGCTCAAAGCGCTTCCATGCCTTGCTGGCTCCCCATAGTTCTGCACTCCGATAGGCAGGAAACACTGTAAATATCATCACACTACAGCACTGAAGTGATTATGACCTACTTGGTAACCACGCTGCTCTAAAGCATCCTGCAAAATACAGCCACTTCTCCAGCTCGCGCAGCTTTGTCCTCCTACCGCTGCCAGCAAAAAACGTCCCTAGAACCACACACTCGGAGTGGAGGCAAGAGCAGATCCAGACTCAAACGCCTGGGGCACAGCAGGCTCCGGCAGCCTATTCAGAGCCGAACATCGCAGCTCCTAGCTGCAGCAAGGTTTATGCTGCTGTATGACCCAACTATGTGACCCCGCTGGAAAGCTCGAGGCTGATTCTTACCACAAAGAGGAGGAAGAGGAGTTTTACCAGGCTGCTGGCTGCTCCCAAGCCTCTCGTGCTAGCAGGCTACCAGCGGAAGTAGCTGTTTTCCTGCTTGCATAACACGCGATTTCAGACTGCACAAAGTCGCATGATCCGGGACTAGGGAATGGCATTCGTTGCAGCAATACATGCCGCGGGGATGCGAGCGCAAACAAAGGTCACCGCAGCCCTGCTGTGCATGCATGCATGCACACGGGACTCAGCAAGGAGGCGGCCGCCGTCACAAGGGATAAGCAGCAATTAATAAGCTCTATTTGGCAGCAATCAGAGTGCACCCTTTGGCAAACCGGCAATTGCCATGTATTCACCAGGGCTGCTGAGCTCTACGGAGATTACACAAAAATAATTACCAGGGGGTTTCCACTTTGCTCAAGAGAAAAATCCTGTTGTGGTTTCATTCAGCCTGCCAGTCAAGTCAGCCCATCGCTGTCTGCGTATGACTGGGCAGAGATACTTCTGCTCTAACGCTAAGCAAATCAGGCCCCTAAAATCAGGGGAGGATAGGACACACTGCTACAGAAGGATGGCTAAGCAAACACAGCCAATACAGCTCTGCTAGGAGCTAACAGGCTTTGTCTCTTCAGCAGTGATGCACCAGGTCAGCCGGGTACATCTCAGCCAGCTAGATGCTTGCCCAGTTGCACTTTGAGGGCAGTCAGGCTAGACTGAAATAATAACTCAGCATCCTTAGCTTACAGAGGCTGGTGAAAGCAAGAGGTAGAGCCAGTTGAAACAAGTATGTTAGATATTTGCATCAGTTTGGGCAGCTTTAGCTTATTTAGCCAAGTCTGTCTTTTCTAAGAACTGCTCCACAGCCTAGGACGGGCAGCTTCGCTACCCCAAACCATAAATAAAGCAGCTACAGGCTTTGGAGATGCCTTCCGCTGGTGCTTGTCAGCACTCACACTGCTTTTTGTTGGCTGCAGGAACCAGTAAGGTGAATGTAACAGCCTTTAACTTCTTATCACAACCCTCTTGCCTTACACCTCATGTGGCAATAGCCAGCTCTAAGGTGGTTTGGCTCTAATCTGTCTTTCTCTCATCCCACTCTATCACCTGCCACATCTCATCCTCCCTCCCTGGGTCTGTGCTGATTTTGCCTGGCTAACACCTCAGGGCTGCTGTTTTTCCTGCCTTCATTTCATGGGTCTCTCTAACCAGATGTCCAATTCCACTCCACTGGCTTTGTGCCGTATCTTCACAAAGTTGCCAGACTTGTTTTGAAACCAACTAAGCTATCCAAAAGCTCAGCAAGTCTGCATCTAGACCGTTTTTGCCTGCTAGCCTTATGCCAGCCTGGGCCACAACTGCAGCCCTGCCCTCATGCCTACGCTTTTGTCTGAGTTTACAGTACTCGAGTCATGTGCGTTTCCACTTGCAAAAAGATTTCTTGACAGCAGAATTACTGCTAACATCTTCTAAGGCACAATCAACATGGGTGAACATGCGGCAGTCACATTTTTTGATCTCCTAGTAGCAGGAACTGAGGAGAGAGGAGATTTCTGGGCACAAAAAAAAGGTTACACTGAGGGAGTTTGAGGTGGGGTTGGTTTATTTTTCCTCCATTTTCTGAAGAACTTTAGGAAGAGGCACTGGCTGATGAAATGCCATCAGCTGACCAGGACAGCGTATCTTCTACAACAGGAAGCACGCGATACAGCTTACAGAGCTTGGCTTCCCAACACCGACTCGAAGGACAAGCTCTGTAAATTGATCACTAAATTCAGTGCAGCTGTTTCCCTTCAAAGCCAGTGTCTTCCTCCCTCTCCCCAGGAAATGAAAGCCATGCTACCAAAAAAAAAACCTTTATCTGATTTATAAGAGATTCTTCATCACAAGCATCAGCTTCAAAGGACTGTCCAGGTAACTCACACGCGTGGGTATCATATGATCAGACACCTGAATATGTAGCCCAAAAGGAGAGTTTGAAATCCTAGCTGTTTGGAGTTAGGCAGCCAATGAAAGCCAGGTGTTTGGACATGAACAGGGCTTGCAAACACAGACGTTACAATGAAGTGCCGCTGCACAGAGCCAAGAAGTGATTTAACTCTGCAGTAACAAGTTCCACCTACTTCCACCGGCCAAGCGATGGGTATGGCAAGACACAAATGAGCATCAGAGTGACACCTAATCAAGATGTAAAATCAAGCCAGCAAATTAACAAGCAAGGCAGTTTTAAAGTGTTTCTTTAAAACCACCTTAGGAAATATCACAACACCGCATCCAAGTTTATCTTACTGTCCGGAGGGCTTCAACACTTACTTTCGAAGGATGATGACGGCTCTTCTTTCCTTGATGTCCTGTGGTCGAATACAGTGTGTAATTTCATCGGCTGCATATCCACTGACAACAAAAACAAAAAGCCACTGTGAGAAAGATGACAGACAGAAGCAGAAAGTGGTTGCCAGCCTCAACAACTCAGTTTGGCCAGTTATTTCCTAACTTCCACCAGAATTCTTCCTTCAAACACCATTCCCCAGGCATATGGGAGCTAGACTTAGAGAAAGGAAGAAACTTCAGGAAAGAATGAGGACAGTCAGGGCTTTTTTTTTTTTTTTTGACTTGATTTTTTAACATGTACCAGAGGAAACTGCCACCTGCCACAACATCGTGAAAAAAGATGTAGAAAATGAATTTATGGAGTGTAAATTCAGCCAATTCATTTATCAAGAAATGAGAGAGCAAAGGGGGAAAAAATCAGCACATTGCTCCAAAGCATCTTCTCACGCATGTCCCCAAGAAAGAACATCCCTCATGGCTGACATGTGCAGCATACCCAGACATGGACATGTACCAGAGTCGATGAGAATATTTGTTAGTCGAGGACGGGGTGCGGTGGTGGTAAGAGTTGAGCGTCTCACCCCCCCTCACCCGCACACAGACGCTGCCAGCTCAGCACCCTCACTGCTACCCGCCATGTGGCACATCCTCAGCCACGATACTAACGTCACCCCCCAGCACAGTGCAACCCCAACACAACAGACACAGGGTAACCTTAAAATTCAGACCCGCAAACCAAGCTGCACCCCTCAAACCTCCTTGCCACAGGGCTCACAAGGCAAGACAGCTACCTGGACTGATGGATGCTCAAGCAGCTGCATGGCCACGCAGTAGCCGTTCTCGGCAGGAGAGTGTTTTGCTCTATGAGATGACTTCACCTACTCCACATTTCTAGCAGGCAGGAGAAAAGCTGTGGCCAACGAGGGCCTGGCTACCATCACACAGGAGTGTTTTTCTTGTGGCTGCTCACTACAACTGGGGTCCGGCACAGCACGCAAGATCGCAGCAGGTGTGTGGAAAGCGGCCATCACACCTGCTCAGACACACAAACCACCCTGCCAGGAGCACATCTCATCACTTGCATGGGTGCTAACGAGCAGGTCCGAGAGGTGGGCCTGCCCTCTACCTGCTGTTTGGAGAGTGTCTCTTCACAAAAGAGCCTGCTGGAATCCAATACAGAGAAAAGAGAAGGTAAATGCCTTCAGAGCCTCCTGAAATGGCTGGCAAGGACAGGAAGACCTTTGAAGACCTTTGAAGCATGCCCCCATGCTGGTTCAACCTGAAGCAGAAATCACCGAGCCCACTCTCCCTGCGAGGCGGTACCATGAAGCTGCTGCCATGCCGGCTGTCAGCCAGCCCTCCAGCAGCACAGCCAGGGTCATCGGCTTGCGGGTTATTCAGGACACTCGGAGCGGAGAACAGATCACGCACACACAGGTCTTCCCTGGGGATGGGACCGGGTTTCCTTTATCTGGTTAGATAACCCACCCACTCACTGAGAAACGCACACCTCAAAGATGGATTTACTGCTTTGAGGAGAGAGTTAAGAGTCTAAACGCTGATCAGTTAAAACAGGGGTTGATGTCCATCACCCTCCGCCCTCCGGGGTATTGCAGAACAAGACAGTGCTATGCGAAAGGGCTTATAATGATGCGCTATTATGTTCCAGGAATCTCTGCGTCAAGCTCCAGTGAATTCATTAATATTACCCACGTTAAGATTCAACTCAGCACATCCTCAGCGACACCCTGAACATCAGGAAAAGGTCTGCTTCCAGACCTGTGCTCTCCATCACGAGATGTCAGCCTGGCCACTCGTTCTCACTCCCCAGGTAGGAACCAGCTTTCCAGCTCACTTTCAGGGCAGCGCCAAGCAGAACTCACGGTCCCAGACGCATGTGGGCAGCACCAAAGCAACAGCACCAAAACCAGCACCAGTACCTCTGCACGAGGTCCTAAAGGGGACCCACCAGTCTGCCCCAGTGCCATGCTGGTGTGGGAAAACTCAGTTTGCACCATATCAAATATAGTGGAAATATAGTGGTGGCATCTCTCTGTGTGGCCCTCCAGCAAAGGGGTTGACACAGGCACCAGGCAGAGAAATGGAAGAAAAAGATTACTTGGTCGTGTCACACTTGTTCTGCATTGTGCCAGCATGAGCTTCTCACCCACTGCCCGGCGCTGCCACATCCTGATGATGGGTGTAGGAGCAGATGCTGGAACAAAACAGCCATAACGATATGGAGGGTCTACCCAGAGATTTCTTGCCCAGAGAACAAACCGAAAGCACGAGGTAAGAGATAACTTGGTAAGGAAAACCTTAAATTGCTGTCCACGAGAACACCTGAGCATGATGTCTCCAGCCTAGAGCACTTTCCAGAAGAACACAGGGAGGTGCAGATGCTATCCACACACTCCCCTGACTAATACTCCATTTCCTAACTAACTGCCAGATCTTATACCCCCAACTCCTCCCGAGTCGCTTTTTCAGTCCAGAAGAGCTGTTGCCGAGCCACAACATAGCTGATTCGCATGGAGACGAAAGCAGATTTTTTTGTACCAACATCACCAGAAAGGAGGCCCTGAAGTTCTGCAGAGCCTCTAACGAGAAATATTTCTAGGGGCTGACGACAGCCAGGCCAGCTCAGAGGCAGAGGGACCTCACGTGCTAGCCCATTGCAGGGTTTCAGCAGCTCGAGGCTTTACTTGTGGTTCAGGAAAGCTGCTGCCACAAACCACGGATGTGACACTGACCAGTTCAAGCAGAGCTTGAACAAATCTATTTGCCTCATCACCACCGGCACACTCAGAACTTCCTCTGCACCAACAGCCTGTTCTGAGGGATCAGACTTTTCTGGAAAAGCCCCTAATCCAGGCAGCTGCGGAGAGATTCCTCCAGCTGCGAAGAAAGCAGGTTCATCCTCCAGAGACTCCAACCAGCTCTGATTATGCTACCACCAGGCATGCCTCGAGACAACAGGAGAGACAAACATCACGATGTTTCCACTGCTATTACAAACAGCAGGGAGACGACCTGAAGCACTCACCAGCTGCAGAAGGGAAGCCGGTATGGCATATAAGCTCTCAGAACTTGGGAAATGTTACCTTCGGTCATTTATTCCTCTGGCTAACTGCAACTGCAATATTTCCAACCACAGTGCTGAGACGCAACACGCAGCAGTTAAACAAAAGCCGGCTCGGTGCCGAGATTTGCTACCTACAAGAGTGGCTACAGGGCACAGCGCGGTGCGAGGGTCCAGCTGGAACCACCCACCCCAGCTGGCTCTGCACCCCCCAGCTCCCACCCTTTTTTCCGGGCTGAGCATTTGTCAAAGCACGTGTTCCCCAGATGAATGGGCAAATTCCTCCATCTCCTCCCCACTGCTTCTATCGATTGATGCTTATCAAACTATTGTTAAAAAAAGAAAACCCACAAACGTGGGCCAGCCAGCAGCCCCCAACAGGCAGCTGATGGTGCACAGGACTGAAATCCAACTTAACTTCGACTGCCCGAGAAAAGCAGCACAGACCAAGGCACCGCTGCCGCCTTCCCTTGGCCTGGCTGGCAGCAGGACAAACCTGCAGGAACACCCGCTTCCTGGGGCTGCAGGACGTCTTCTTCTAGACGTCAAAACCCACAAGGGCAAATCTTCACTGCAGATGGAAAAGGAGAGGAAGAAGTGCCTTGCTGGAAGAGCGAAGGGCTCATTAGCGGGTCGCGGGGTGGCTTAGCCTTTGTCCTGCTGGCAGAGGCGCACAGCCCAGCCAGGAGAATCTCCCATCCACCTCTTAAACACTAACCTGTCGTCTTGAGATCTGAATACTTTCCAGTGAGTTTGAGGAGGGTTCCGTGTTTGCAAACACCAGAGCCTGCTTCACGGTAGGCAAATAAAGTCAAGGGAGGGATGAAGGGAAAGCCCCTCTGCAGAATCCCTGCCAGGTAGGTGGCTACAAAATGAGGAGGACAATTTGGAATAGGCTGCTGAGAGCGGGAACGGGACATGGGTGATCTGGGGAGAGCCGGAGAACGATGTGGGAGCAAAGACAAGACATCTGACAGCTTGCTTTAGATCCTCAGGATTTCCACACGGTAACCAAACACACACTGCTACCCCGGCTTCCCCGGAAAGGCGGCATGCCAGCAGCAGCCACTGACCCAGCAATATTTGAATCACAGACATTACAAGCATGCCATTTCTATCTGCGCCGTTTCCCTATCTCCAGGGCAACTGCCTTCAGCAACTGTTTACTGGGAGGAGAAAAAGCCAAGTTTGGGGGTTGACTTAAACATGACCAAGGGCTGAATTTCAGAGACACATCCCTGAGAACCTACTGACACTCTGCACCTCTCCCCACTCCTCCCAAATTGCTGGGGTTAGAGGGGAGACAAGATCTGCCAGAGACAAGGAACTTGCATCCAGCCAGGATCATATCATCACAGAACAATCACTTTGGCAGAATCTCTCTTAAGTGAGTGCTAAGTATCTGCTAACTGCTGTACCAAAATTGAAATAATCCCCGGTTTAAAGTCTATTATTTGCTAGAAAACAGAACATCTAACCATGGATTAAGCTAGTGAGCGCCTGTGGTAGGTTGGTCAGAAAGCAATCCTTCTGTTTGGAGGGAAAAAAAAAAAAGATATCTTCGTTTGATTTGTACAATCGCTTCAGCCACGTCAATAAACAGATTACGGCACTCAGGTGACGCTGGCCAACAACCCAAACACACAGGCCTGGGAGACACCCCGCTCCCGGTTCCGGTAACCCTGAGCCAGCTGCCTCCTCCTGGCAGTTTTGATATAAGAATGAGAGCCTGAGACAAGAAAATATGTTCTTGTCCCGGAGCAGTGAAAAGCCCCTCTCCCCTCTCCCACCATCCTCCACTGTGAAGTCCCAATCCTCCTTCAGACATAAGGCCACGAGAGTTTTCCTTGTGGCTTTGACTACAAGACTGACCCTGCGTTAACAGCTCTGACAGCACGCTTGTAAGCAAGGAAAAAATCTCACTGTTTTCCCAAAAAAAAAAAAAAAAAAAAAAAAGACCTTTGGCTGTGAAAGGAAAGACAGCTATTTATTCCAGGCCTTCCCCGGGGAAAGGCAGCAGAGGGGTTCCCATCACCAGGAGGAAAATTAGGGTAGAAAGTTTCCCTCCTCCTGAGAGGAGAAGACAGGGAGCAGAGTGGTTGCCTCGCACACGGCAGTCTCCATCCCCAGGGACGGAGCTTGCTCTGCAGTAAAAAGTAGCAGGACAGTTCCCCCAGGTCCTGTTTCACGAAATCGCCCTGACCTCTGCCGCCACCTCCCGCACCCTCCCTGCCCCGGCCAACCCACCAGAGAATGAGAAAATGTCCTCAGCGCCATTCCCGCTTCCGTCTGCAGCCTCCCTCATCCCTCACTAATCCACAGAAGTTACCTAACGCAGGGGGTACGGCGAGGATTAGTTAATGTTTGTGCAGCTTTTCCGAGATAAAAGCTACGTGAGATCTCAGCATTTATTATTGATGCACTAGTCAACGGTGCGAGGCTGTGTGTATGTGGGGGGGGGAGAAAATTCCTTCCCGAACCCTGCGGCGATCACTTTACAAGCCAAAGCAGGGGATTGTGTTACGGCCTGGGAGCCCTGAAAACCAGCCTGGACCTTCACCAGTCCAAAAAAAAAAAAAAAAAAAAAAAAAAATTAAAACCCTGAACGAGGATACAGTTGGTAGCTCGGAGCACTGCTGGCAGAGTCCGGGCAATCCCTGCAGGGAGCACTCTGACCTTCAGGGACATGAGGGACTGGTGCTCACCGAGTCAGGCAGCCCCGGCGCTGGGCTTCGCGTCGCTCTCCCCAAAATTTGGACGCCGGCGTGTCCGTACGCACCAGCCTGCATGCACCCTGCCTGTCGCCTCACCTGCCTGCTCTGCCCACCCAGCGTGTACCGGGAGGCAGCGGGGATTAGGAAGCAGGCATTTCCCAGTGCCAATCCCAGCTTTACTACCGACCGGCTGCGTGACCTTGGGCAGGTCATTTCACCTCCGCAGCTCTTCCCCGGCTTGCAACAACACGCGTGAAGTCCTTTCTTGCATCCACAACCCACCGCGTTTCCAAATGACAGTCCCATGGGGCTCTGCACTCCGGTCTCCCCATCGGCATCGGGCAGGGGAGTGTTTAGCATTCCCAGTTTGCAGACTGGGGAGACGAGGCCATTCACACCTCCTCTCCACACTTAAGGTCAGGTTGGAGAGGCACCGGCCAAGCTAAGAATAGACCCAGCAGCCCTGTCCCAACCAGCTGCTCGGCTCTGACCGCTCTTGGGCAGAGGATCCATTTTGTGTCTCGATGTGTTATTTTAACCGTTTACGGGAACTACGGCAAACCTCCGCAAGTGGCTGCGCTCCTGCCAGGACTCGCCTCAAGCCTTGCAGAGAGGACACCCTCCCCCAGTCCCCATCTACCACGGCGGCAGGATGTGCCCCCCTTCCCCCGATTCTTCCTTCACCCCTTCCGCCGCAGCGAGACCCTGCACGCCTACAGGCGGGCGAGATCAAGCCCGAGCCGCCGTCAGGGTGTGCATCCCCGTGCCTCGTGATTAGCGTTACACAACCGAGCCCCGGCATGTTAGCGGAGGCCTCGGCGATGCAGGCGAGTTACCTGAGCACCGTGACGCTTCCCCTCTTCACGGGCAGGAAGAGAACGGGCTCCGAGACCCTGATGGGTTTGAACTGGAATTTACACCCGAAGCAGAGCGCCGAGTCGCTGAAGAAGGAGACGGAGACGATGGGCCTCTCAAAGATATGGATGGGGTCCACGTGGGAGACAATGCAGCCCCCCGGCTGGTAGTCGTTGATGACGGCACTGTTCACAAAGCCCTCGGGAATCACCCGGTGCTCCACCAGCTTCCTGATCACCAGGTCGTGCACCCACTCAGGGATGGCGTCCACCTCTCCCCGCGGGTACAGGCGCTCCTGGCCGGGGCCTCGTCTCTGCAGCTGAGACCCGTAGGTGTAGCCCTCCCCAAAAAAATACTTGTTCCGTAGCGGGGCCCGATCTACCGTGTGCTCCTTGTAGAGCCCCTTCTCCGCTCGGGACACCACCTCCTCGATCCGAGCCTCGATCTTGGCGCACTCCTCGGCGCTGAAGAGGCGAAGCTGGCGGATGCCGCTTTTGACTTTCCGAGCTTCTTCCTCCTCCTTCTGCTCCTCGTAGTCGCTGGGCTCGGAGCCGGAGTCCTCCTGGTGCCGCCGCTTGCGATCGTAGGGGGGTTCGGGGGGCTCCCGCGGGTGGC